TCTTTTGACGTACCTTTGTTTGATCAGATGGAAGTTTAATAGGGTTCCTCTTGGATGGGCCGCGAACCAATTTCAGATGTGGGCAAGGGGATACTTTGATCTTTTTCCAGAAGTTAAAAATGAGTCCGAGACGATCCCGATATTAATACAATGCCAACCCGTTGGAGATTTTTACGTGGATGACCGCAGATTGTTTGGTGATTGGTATGGTTACGAGAAATCATGGCATGTTTTGCGCCTTCGACCCGGAAGGCATGTTATTAATGTTCGCTTAGTGAACGAAATACGAATATTTGGTGGAAATGTACCTCCTGCACTCGGATTTCAGTGTTTTATGCGAAAATTAAGAGAAGACAAAACAGCAATGATGTTATTGGATAATACTGTCCTAGTGCCCGACATGATAGATGGAAATTTGGCCGGAAAATACATGAGCATTGCGTTATTAAATACTCATGAGGAACGATGGATCACAGTGCATAATGTTAACGTTGTCGACAGTAATGTAAAGGTATGTTCTCCCATATACAGTATATGTCTCGCGATTGCGTCTCGGTGGTGATCCTAAATATTTTATCGTACTGTAACAGATGAGAGCATCAGTTATCAATGATAAACCAAATAGGAATTCGGGAGTAAGTTTTGCTCCTTCACAGCAACGAAACATTAGGATTCTATTGAAAATCAATTCCAAAGTGTTCAGTGGAATGCCAATATTTTTCAGATTACAGTTTAACGCGTCTGCTAAATCTGAAGGACGTAATACTTTCTGGACAATAACCTCAGATTCAATAACAATTCGCCATAGAAATTTTGGAGAGATGTACAAGTTTACTTTCTTGGACTATGATAGAACGGTTCAGTATGGTGAGCAACAATGTGAAACAAAATAATCCTAGTATTTTGACAAATTATTAAATTCTTTTGATGTATCACTCACGATATTTCACGTTACGTCTCCTACATTCGAGAAAAGCAATGGTTCTACCTCCGGAGAAATCATGTTATCCCGTAAAATGTCCAATTTTAATTGCCCTACACGGTTCAGGCGTTGAGGTAGAGGAAAATTTCTGGACGTCCGCTTACAGGAGACAACAAAATGCTTGGGTATTTATTGATTTAGTTTGGAGTATTGCGAATCAGTTATCTCATGGCTTTTTGGTTACTTTAAGATTCTTTTCCCGACCGGAAGGACACCATGGGGCTATGATTGGCACGGTCCAAGTATGAGAAATGTCCATGAAGCCGTAGAAACCTTGGCCAATCACATTCCAGGAGTTCCAAAACACTTGAACCAATCGATACTTCCCGATCCTCACAAACTATTTATTTCAGGTTACTTTGCAAATACGTCTAATATATAGGATTTATAGAGATGAATATGACTGTTGACAAGAATCACCATTGATTCATATTTCAATAAAGGACATTCAAATGGCGGGCAAGGAGGTTGGTTCCTGTTGTCACATTTTCCGGATTCTGTTATTGCAGGTAAAGTTAGGTTTATGGAATAAATGCGAGTTTAAATGACAATCAAATAACGTCATCAAATTATAGGTGCACCCGTTGCTGGCTATTCAAAAATTCAAAATTACGTGCCTTATTACTGGAACAGTGACGCACACATGGATCCAATCCTTAGAGGGGTAATTTATCATGATTTCTTATGTTAATGTGAATTAATGATGTTTTGTTAATCATGGTCTTTTCGAATGCAAAGGTTCTGGAGTCAGCAATATCGGAATTTAACAATGACCTTTATTCTTCTAATTTGGTGAAAACAAATGTTTCTAGAAATTTAACGTTTTCCCAATATCCTAGTAATCATATACTGCATAATCGTATAGGTTGGCATTCCTTTATTGGCCCGTACCGGTGGAGATGATGACAATGTTCCACCCACACATTCCCGCATGTTGGTCAGGTTAATTAATGAACATTCCGGAAACCCGCATGCAGCATAGTATGCAACATTCATTTTATTTTATTTTTTAAAAAAAAAATAAATCGAATTCTCAATAACTCGGCCATCCCTCGACTCAAAATTTTTCACTTGCAGCCTCTCCGAGATTCCAGAGCAAGGCCATTGGTTTGAAAACGTTATGGATGACGATGTAATGCAAAAATTTTTTGATGAACACTTAAAGATCTCTCAGGACAAAAGAGAACCATTATTGGAGTATCCAAAGAAATTTACTGTCACCTTATTAAATCCAGCAAGTTTTGGAAGTAAGGGGGGTATTCAAGTAGAACAATTAAGGCTTCCGTTTAGGTGATTTATGCTATCTGCTAACAAATAGTTCACAATTGCACTATATTATTGATTTATTATTATGGTTGCATATGTAGGCTGGGTAAATTAAACGTACAAATTGATGAAACGAGCAACGGTCAGAAAGTATGGAACATCAAGACTTCCAATATTCGTCGATTCAGATTTCTTCTTAATCACCGAATGACAGCAATCAGAGAAGATGCTGAAAGAGTTGTGATCGATGGTGTGGAGTTTGATTCAAGCTATCTTCGATCAAATGGAATTTTTGAACTACATAAAAAGAACAAATGGAAGGTAACATGAAAGAACGAAAAGTGCTATCAATGACTTGACTTTTCCTCTATCTGAAACTTAACGAGAGAAATTTTAAAGTTTGATAGCAGCAATAGCACTAGATGGCATTATAAAGAGAAACATCCGTTGACTTATGGACCGGCACATCAAATTCTCAAATCTTCGCAACCATTGACTATTGTAATTGGAACAGGACACGGATCGCAAAATAATGGCTTCAAGTTTTTGGAAATTGCACAAGAAATTGCACACAGTTGGTATCTTTACGGACGAGGAGATTCGGTAATTGTTCATGATGTTGAAATAATAACCGAAAAAGACAAGATAGAAAGAGGCATCACAGGAAATTTAGTGTTACTGGGTGGACCTTCGGTAAATTATGCTACACAACTGTTGTTGAAAAGAAAAAACAGTGAAGGTAGCCTATTTGATGATATTCACAATTAATCTCAAGAAACAAACGTTATTAATATGAAAATTTCCATAGTTAAATTTGAAAAAGATGGTTCATTCGTTCTGAAACATGTAAAGTTTTCCGATCCAGGAATAGGTAATTATCATCTTCATATCTGAATAGATAATTGCGATGCACTAACATTAATTGTTGTGATTAGGAATTTTATTCTTGCATCCGTTCAGAAAAGACCAATTGACGCTAATTATGGCCGGAACAGATCCCAAAGGTTTTGATCAAGTCGCCAGATTATTTCCTAAGAGGACCGGAGTTCCTATACCCGACTGGATTATAACAGGACCCGAAGTTGCATGGAAAGGTGCCGGTGGATTACTTGGTGCCGGGTTTGTATGACACTTTTGAGTTCATCTAATCTATTTAATTTGTTAGTGTGTTTTGACACGAATACTCGTTCGGTAGGTTTTGGAATAATAAATGGAAGTTCGATGATTCGATTGGATATTTAACATAATACTTTGAAGAATGGTCCGTGTTTGGCTTGTTAATACGCTTACCACTGTTCTATTATTCGAGTTTCCACTTTGCGAAATAAATTTATTACCACACTTTATGAAATTCCGTTATTTTACTTTATTTTGTTGTTGATTTATAGTTGAATTTATAACAAGAAATTACAAAATAAACGTGTCCTATTTAAAAACTGCAATGGTATTCGATAACAAAAGTTTCGAAGGATCCTGTTATAGTACAAGGTGTTTTACAAATTTAAAATTTAATATTTAATGTTACAGCACGCGATGCAAGCATTCATTCATTATGTTGGCTTGAGCATTCTATGTTGAATAACTTTTTCATATGATGTTAGTATCATTCTAATTAAACTTGCATATAACAAACTGATCGAATTGCTTCAATTCGCAGTAATAACATTTATGATTTAAGAATTTCAATTCAATTCGCCAGAGATAACATTCAGACAAAATTACTTAATCTTTATTGCGTCCGAACTACCTAATACTTTACATAAAGGTGTACTGTATATACATTATAACCATCACACTAAAAAATACAATAGCAAACTCATATTTTCTTCCCTGATGCGAATGTATACATGTTATTGTGGGCTAACAGTGTTTTTAATATCCAACTTCTAAAACTCAACTTTTTTTTCTACACCAAATCCTGCTTACATACAGTATGTGCGTACATTATATACCTTTTAAATAAACTATCTAAGCTAAAATAAATTTCGATAGTTTCTTACCCTCTAACGCGGATTCCACGCCATTTGCATAATGCACCGGTATGTTAACTATAGCTTCTTAATTTCTACAATGATATCAATCACCCGCGCGTTCCGGGTCTCGCAATGGCTTCCGAATTTACCATCATGATCGTGCCACACGTATCGCGTCGATCACGTGACCTCTGACAATGTACAGTACAGTATATAAAGTATATTCAATCCACGTTAATAAACTCGAGAAAAAAAATCCATCTTTCTTATGGATCAAAACTAAATTTAAAACCAAATCTCTTGCCGTTTGCTATTGAGCATGATCTTAATAATTTAATTTTTGTTCCATTAATGTTTGAGATTTCAAAAGTGAGAAATTAGTTTAACTCCATGTTAAATAATCCGTTTATTCCTTAAAAAAGTCTTCCAAATCCATGAATATTTTTTTGATTCCTTAACTTTTTCTCTGACTAACGTGTCGAAAAATCCTGCCGCTAATTATTTTCTAACTATCGGTAAAAATTTTGTTGGCAAGTTCAAAAAAGAAAGTATTTATGTATCAGAGATTTTAGTAAAGCTTTATTAGTCACCTCTTCCTGAATTCGTCAATTGTTACTAGTCCCTTTTTAAATAATTGAATACAATTTAGTCTTCCATAAACGCCTTGTAATTAAGGATATCCTCACAGGAACTTTAAAACTACGTAAAATAAATTTTCATCTAGAATTAGAACCGTTAAAATTTCTATCGGATCAAGATCAAGTGAAGTTTCTGAATCCCGTGGCTTCTGTTTCAAAGAATCTGTTATCAATGTCATCACTGATAAGCGATAATATCTCTTAAGGGCGGTTTCAAGGAATAGTCATCAGTCATACCCGTGTCTTTCATCACAATTCTATTGATGCCAATTACGAGGTCGACTTCACCTATTTCCCGAAGCATCAGGATTTCTTGTTAAAATTAGAAGTGGTGCCCAATCGTTGACGGTGTAATTGGATTTATGCGTACTTTTGACAGTGACAATTAAATTCGGTGCATTAAATTTAGGGTTACTTACAATATAACTGTATTTGTATACAAGCTTGAATAATATCCG